GAACCTGTCCTTCTCACTACTATTTATAAGCTGCATTTGAGGTGAAGTGAAGAGGATAGCTATAGGAACAAATTCTGAGAGCATAGAAAGCTTGCAATAGATTCGAGATGATAGAAACTGTAACATTTTTGAAAGTTGAATTTTTCTTCCATTTTCGTGTCTCTAGTACCATCATAGTCATTTCCGATGAGCCATGTTAGGTGAGCTATTGCGATTATGATGCTCATTTATTTGAGGTAAACTTTTCTAATCATACAAGTACCTGTACGTTAGAATAAATCATTTATTTATATTTTAGTAGCTTTAAGAAGTTAACTAGTGATATAATTTATAATAACATACTCAGATTTTTTTGATTCTAGGTCTGCTTGTCTTTCTACCAAATTAATATACTTTGTGTGCCACAGAGGTTTACTAATATAATTGCCCTATTCTATAATAAGAATGCTTTCAAATGTTGATTAAAATCCTGCATGTATTTCCTTTTCCTAGGAACATAAAGCATCTTAACATCCTTGATAATTTAGAATTATATGGCCTCTCAGGGTCATATTTATGCATGATAATTTCTGTAAACTCTTGTAGAAATGTAGGAGATGTAGGATACTTGACTGGAACTAAAACACTGATCCTAGAGCATAACCCAAATTAAAAGTTGTGTTTATGATGGCCTTCACGGTGACTTCTGAGTGCTCTGAAATTGTACAGAATTTAAGGTCTCTGTTCTAAGAGAGGTTCCATTGATTAGATTCGATTTTCAAGAGGTTTTAAAGAGAATCCCTAAAAGGTTAAGAACATACTGACCTAAGTGATCTTTTTAAAAAATTCTTTTACAGTACTCTCTTTTATTTATTTGGGGGTGGGGGTGGGGGTGTGGGGGAGGGTGATGTTGATGAGCCTCTTTATAGATAAAATAGAGATAGAAATGCCAATTAAATGAAGATTGTATTAGTGAAATTTGGCTTTTCTAATATAACTGTTAAATGAGAAGGAAAATTGGTTAATGACAAATTTATTAGAGTTTTAATAACTAGAGTTTCTTTTTAAAGTTTTAAATTCTAATCTCTCAATCTAAATGACTTTCCCAGGAATATTTAGCGACATTCATTTGCTGGCTATGATGTACAGTGGAGAAATGTGTTACTGGGGATTGAAGCATTGTACAGATCAACAGCCAGGAAATCATGGAGTGGATACTGGTGTTTCTGGAGCAAGCTACACTACACACAAAGAACCCTTGGATTTTCGAGAAGTAGGAGAAAAAATTTTGAAAAAGTATGTATCTGTGTGCGAAGGACCTCTGAAAGAACAAGAATGGAATACAACAAATGCAAAACAAATTTTAAACTTCTTTCAACATCGCTGTAACTACTAAGTTCAGTCCTTTTCAAACAAAAACAAAAAAGACCCATGAAATGGAAAAGTTTCAGAAAAGAAGACATTTTGACACTGAATTTAAGAATATCACACTACATGAAGATGTCCAGCATGGTTACTTGTTTTTAAATGCCATTATGATTTTTCATTATATATTCTTAAGCGTCTGAAAGAACAATTCTTTGATTTCTAAAACGACATGTAATTCTAACTCATCCATTATTGATACTAAAGAGGAACCCAATTTTGCTTTACAAAGATTTTTTTTCTATTTAGATTTTTTTTCATTGTTGTAAAATATACATAGCATAAAATTGACCATTTTAACTATCTTTAGATTATTTTTTAATCTCTCTTGAACTTTGCTGTGCGTCACAGGTTAAAATCAAGTCACCTCATTGCTTTGGATATATGCTATGGATTTAAAAATTGGCAAAATAATATTCAGGTTCCATTTCTAGAATAGGATAAATAATGAAAGACTTCATAAAAGAATTATTTTATCATGTACTACTAATGGCATTAAAAATTTTTATTCTATTAAGCATTTTATAAAACTTTAAAAATGATTTTCCTCTCTTCTTTAAAAGAATGTGCATGGTTTATCAAATGAGATAAAGGTAAAACCAAGTTAGGTTAGTCCACCATTAGTCCAGTTAGCTCGTATGTCTTTAAGGCACATCTTTTCATATGTACTGAAACTTTAATATTCTTTTTTGTCTTTAA